CACACACACACACACACACACACACACACACACACACACACACACACACACAGCCACTTCTCTCTCCATCCATACCTCCTTGAGTTCCAGTTCGATGATCTGCTCCTTAAAAGAGTAGGCTTTGTTCTCCCTCTTCATGTTGGCCTTTTTCAGGCTATCCTGCTGGGCACTGAAAAGAGAGGAGATATTACTGCCCGTTCAAGTGCGTGGATCAACCACACATCCAAGGGCATTAGAACGTCCTTAGGGTCACCCCACAACTCAGGGGGTGGAACCAAGCCAGGCTGGTGGAGCAATTGGGGGGGTGTTGAAATTTACAACTCTTTTAAGGTTCCCAAGTTTGGAGAGCCTTGAGCTATGTGAAGGATTCAGGAATTCGAATAGAATAGAATAGCAGAGTTGGAAGGGACCTTGGAGGTCTTCTAGTCCAACCCCCTCCCTGCCTAGGCAAGAAACTCTACACCACTTCTGACAAATGGAACTCTGGGGGGGGGGGGAGGGGGGTGTCTGGCCTCTGTTGCTTCCTTCCCTGCAAGGAGCTCAAATTCTTTTCGCCGCATAGTGTTTCTTCCAAGCTGAGTTCCTTTATTATTATTTCACTCCTATAGACGGAATCTTGCCAGACTGAAGGCTCCACTCTCTGCATCTACAATAATACTCCGGGAACTCTTAAGGAGGAGCTGTCTTCGCTCTCTTTCTTTCGCACCCGACGGCGATTCCACCATATCCTGCCACCTATAAACCTGCCACAGGTTCCTGCTCACCTGTGCAAGATAGACTTGTCGTAGAGTTCCCCTTCCGGCATCTTCATGATCGCGAATTCTTCCTGGGTCACGAGACACAGGGCCGGGTTTCCCAGGGAGGCGGAAATGGTGCTGATCAGCTGAGGGAGGACTTTGGCAGGCAAAAGGACCGAGAGCAAGCCAACTGCATTCAGAGAGGACTGCAAGAGGGGAAAAGAGAGAAGAACACTGGGTCTTGGGTCTCCTCTCCCGAAGGATTAAAACTTGCAACATCCAACACTGACGCTCTGCGACATTTGTTCTAGGTTTACTAATTGCAGGAGAAAAGCCACAACTATCATCACACAGTCTGGCGTTCCGGACATAGAATTGGGACCGTTGTTGCAAGCCAAGAATGATTTGGAATTATTCTTCCAAGCTGAGTTCTTCCTTGTTTTACTCCTGTAGACGGAATCGTGCCAGACTGAAGGCGCTACTCTCTGCATCTACAATACACTCTGGGAACTCTTAAGAAGGAGCTGTCTTCACTCTCTTTCTTTCACACCTGCTATCTGAGCTGAGTTGCCTCTTCCTCCTCCGGAATCCACCCCCTCCCTCCTGGGGATCCACTTCCTCATTACATTACATCCCATTCCCCACAGGGCAAATTCGGTCACCTGATTCATTGGGCTCTGGGTGATGATGATGCGGTCAAAGATTTTCTCCATGTGCTTGGTGATGAAGTCAATAGGGTCCAGCTTCATCTTGATGAGGAGGGCAGGCCAAAGGCCAGGTTGTCCTGCCACTAAAAAGGGAGAAAACGGTGCCAGGAGTGTCCCCAAAGCCCACCCAATGCCCCTTTTTCACAACCCCTCCCCACTGGCTCACCCAAAGAAGGATGACTGCTCACGAGCAGCATTTCCAAGACCAGTTTTTCTTTCTCTTCCGGCTCTCCTTCCATCCCTGGCCCACACGCGATGACGCACAAGGCTTCCTGAAGGATACGCGGAGGGATGTATGTTTTGCCCTGTTCTGACAGCTCTCCGGATTCGGTTACCAAGGCCTCAGGGGAAAGCACCTAACAAAGGGGGTCAATGAAGCAACGGATTGTAATTTGGGGCCCAAACATTCTGGAGAGCGTTTCATACAGTGGAACGACAGCGTAAAAAAACTATCTACCGGGTCACGAGTTAAAAAAATGACATGAGCAGAGCGCAAAAGCTTTGTCATCACTAAGCAGCTCTGAAGTTAGCTACGAAGTCAGGGATTTTTACCTTGTGTGAAACGAGAACCGCCTTTAGCTCTTCTAAGAGCCCACGGGCTAACTTGAATCCTCTTGGCAAAGATAAGAGTTTTCTCACAGTCTGCTGAGCGAGCCTCCGGACGCTCCAGGACCGGCTGAGGAGGACGGCAGTCAAGGCTTTGTAATACTGCCTGGAAGTGAGAAAACAGCCAGTTCAAAATATATGGAGGCAAACAGGAAGTGAATGACAGTAGATGGCAACAGAAGAGCCCTGGTGGCTCAGGGGTTAAAGCACAGGATGGCACACAGACTCTGCCCACAGCCTGGAGTTTGACCCTGACGGGGTTGACTCAGCCTTTCATCCTTCCGAAGTCAACCTTGAGCCGGTGAGGATCGAACTGCTGGCAGAAGGCAGTCAGAAGTAGCCTGCAATACTGCATTCTAACCACCGCGCCACCACAGCCCTTAGATATATCCAACCTGCGTTCCCTTGTATGAGGTATAAGCAACAAAAACAGACTAAGGTTACACTTACTGGATTTTAGCTCCAGGTAGCCGACATTCATGGTCTAAGAGAAGGCGTTCGGTTAGCTGCAGAACGGTACACATCACTGCAGGGAGGGAAAAACAGACCTTCGGTACATGGAAATCAGTTGCATCCGCCCAAATTTTGAATGCTTGCTAAGTGTCTGGTCCTAAATTGAAAGCTATCCCCCAGGACGGGACTGGGGAATTCTGGGAGTTGAAGCCCACACATCCTAAAGTTGCCGAGGTTAAGAAGCAGTGATGTAGAATACACATTTTACGCAGCACAAGTGAATGGCTGGAATTTATAAGAATCGCTCTAAAATGTGGATGGAAAATTAGCCTGTTCTTACAGACTAATTTGGCACCGATGGTACGTAATGATATATCCCTTCTTTTCAAGGATTGCAGATATCTGGTTGTCTAATAAGGAAAAGAATTAGCCAAGGAAGAGCAATACATCGGGCCTTTGGTGTCCCTAACAGGTCAGTTGTGCCAATAAATCCATTTTGCCGAACTTCCACAGTTGGTAAAAGTGAAATTTATTACAGGTAATAAACTGGTTTTGTTTCTGCTGGAAAGAGGGCTGAGAAAATATCTCCAGACCCTTCACATCCTGGGCATAAACTATTTCAATTTCTCCCCTCGTTGCTCCAAGGCACTGCATGCCAAGACAACTAGACACAAAGGTAGTTTTCTCCCCGTGCCATCACTCTGCTGTACACCTAGTTCCCTCAGCACTGTCTTAGACCTAAAGATATTGTATAATAGTGTTGCTATGATCCTTCACCTCCTTCTCATTTTCTCATCTTTCCAACGTTCCCCTTAGTATCTTTGATTTATCATGTCATTTGTATCATGATTTATTATTGTACCTGATGATTTACTTACCAGTATGTTGTTTATAGGCACACTGAGAGACTATTCTTATTCCTACTCCTATTCCTACTCTATACTCCTATACCTATTCCTACTCTATTCCTATTCCTACTCTACTCTACTCTACTACTATTCCTATTCCTTCTTACCTTCCTCTGAAGCAGACTGCAAGAACTTCTCAGAAGTGAAGATCTGTTTTTTCTCATCCAAAATAAGCTGCCAGAAGCTGTTTAGTTTATTTTCTGAGAAGTGCAGGATTAAAAAAAATGGAAATTACAATTGAGCCGATAGTTCACCCTGTTACTTAACTGCTATCACGCCTTCTGTAAGGCAACCTAAGCAAATCAGTGTATTTTATTTAATTTGTATCCCACCTTTGTAATTTTTATAAATAATTCAAGGCTAGCCAGAAACAGATTTCAAACCCTCCATGAACGACGAATCTGGTTAGCGTTAACTGTCGTTGGTTGCCAGAAACAAGTTTTTAATAAACAGGTCAAAATTACGGGGGGAGATAAAATGTCAAAGAAGAGGAATTACGTATCACAATTCTGCATGGGGGACCCCAGATACCAGGTGAGCTTATCCTAGGGGGTTATACAAGATTATGCCTCAACTGTGTGATTTTTTTTCCCCTCTCTCTCTCTTTCATTATTTAGGTCTCTGTTATTGTTCAGACAATTGTGACTTGTTTTATGGCCGCCTGGGATTGCATTTTTGTGAGTTGGGTGGTATTACAAATTTTTAAAGTAAATATATATATATATATCCCAAGTTTACAGGATGTGGCACAGAAGAAGGGAGAGGCTGAGGCCAATTATACAATTAAGTCCTTCGGATCGTGCCTAATAATTCCTTAGCCTAAATTAAATGGAACTTTTGGCAGAAAACAGCCAAAAGCAGTTTACCTTTCACTGCAGGGGGGGAATCTTACCTATTTGCACATCGGCTACCGAAAGTCTACAGATTAGCAAAGCTGCAGCGACACCTTCCGTTACCAGAGGAATCTGGGTGCTTTGAGTTCCAGCTTTCTCCACAGTCTGGATCAGTAAGGGCAGCATCTCTGATCCTTGTAAGAGGACATTGCCTACCGAAGCGGAAAATAAATAATAATAATAATAATAATAATAATAATAATAATAATCAAGAAAAAAAAATTCTGCTTGCTGAAGTTTTCCCCTGTTCAGAAATAAAGAAGTGATCTCATCAAGAGATCGTGTTTTCCCTGAAAATAAGACCCAATCGGAAAATAAGCCCTAGCACGAATTTCCCCAGGAGCCGCAGTTAAAGATCAGGAGGCTGTGAGCTTGATCCTAGGTAGAGGCTAATATTTG